TTCCATTTCATTCCATTTCATTCCATTTCATTCCATTTCATTCCATTCCATTCCATTCCGTATCATTTCATTTCGTTTCATTTCATTTCATTTATTTTCAGTTTCATTTTCATCATCATTTTCATTTTACTTGATTTCTTTTTTATTTATCACTGCTTCGACTGGAATATTCCTCTTTCCTCTGCACGTTTGGGTCCGTTTTTCTTGATTTTTTGATTAATTTTTTGTTTTTCTTGATCCCCTGAACAAAAATAGATTCATTTCTTTTTTTTGATCCCTTGCCCGTGCAGGCGCTGCGTGATGGGTTTGGCTTTTGGGTTTGGGATTACCTATCATCCAAACATGAACATGCCTTTGGAGCTGGGTAGGAAGACCGTTTTGGAGCTACATTAGATTGCGTCGGCAGAGGAACTCGACCTGTTTCTTTCTTGCTTTTCCTTGTCCGGTGAAGTCTTTCACACGCGCAAGTCGATGTCGAGATCGTGCTCGGTAGGGGAAGAGTTCTTGACGAATTGCCCAGCCATGAATGCCGGCAAAGACTGTGTGAAGTGCGCACCTTTAGAGCGCAGGGAGCGCAAAGAGAGTTCCTGTTTTGCTTCTCGAACGATGAACTTTTAGCCTGACTCCGCAGCCTCAGACTCCCAGCCTCATACTTTCTGCTGATTACAGCCTCATTCTCAGACTCAGACTCCATCCAGTCGACCCTCCGCGGTGTTCCAGGTACAACAAGACCTTGGATGGCGTGCTGATTTTGACCTTGATCCATGGGCGGCCCATGGTCCCCACCGAGCACCTCCAGTTGCCCAAGTTTCTGGACTGGCCAAGGGACGCTTCCGGACGTGCGCAAGCCAAAAGACTTCCAAATGCCAGGAATAAAACACACCACAGGAACCAGAAACACCGTGGTTTGGGGGAGAATTCAACCGGCCGAGGCACTCACTGATGGACACCCTGGCCATCTCTCTCTGACCCCGATTGTGAGAGGAAAGCTGATATTTTGGTGAACTGCATCGATCTAGCCTGATCTAGCAGTGAAAGGATTTTACATAATGATATTTCTGCGCAATATCACAAACACACTCATATTCATGACAATATTGCATTATTGCATTCGTTAATTATATAGCTATTTGCGGCCTCGGTTGTTGATAACTTCCCTTGACTTGCCATCCACACGATCGTAGGATCCTGTGGTGGCCAACACTGTGAGGCAGTTGAGCCTTGTGCGACTCGGAGACGTGCTGAGGTCGTTGCTTTGGTCGTTGGGCTGGGGTGGTTGCGAGGTTCCGTTTCTTTCTCCCAGGAGAAGGTACCACCCAAGGACTCACGGATACTCACGGCTTGGATTTGTGACTCAGCAAAAGGGAGGAAAGGAGAAAACAGGTCTCATCTTTGGAAGAGGTTTTAAACATGTTTTAGTTCCATGATTTTTGAGAAAGCCCACAGGTCCTTGGATGTTTGGCTAGCAAGACTTCAAGTTAGCCTTTATCATTGACTACCAGCTGACCTGGCAGAAGATTCGACAGATCCATGGACATTGGCTCTCATCATTGATTTTTGCTGACCAGGTGGGGTGCTTTTGCTCCAGGTTTCTGAGCCACATACACATCATACACTGTGCACTCCAGGGCCTTCATGTACCTTGCCCACACCAAAGACAAAGGGAGTGTTTTGTTTCATTGATGGTCCCCACAACGAGCTCTGCAGGTTCTGTGAGAGCTACCCCATCAACCAGGAGGACACTGCCGCAGAGGTCCCCGGCGTGCTAATGGGCCGCTATGCCAAGGACCGCTACGGGCACCAAAAAGAGGGAAATCCGTGGGCCGCCCGGCAGAACATCAGGTCGACTGGGAAGGTTGGTCAAGAGACCTCATGATACCGATGCCTCTTTCTCGAGAGACCTCATGATACCCCAGGTTGTGACTCTTGGTGCCAGACCAGACCTCCAGAAACGCATTTGGACTCGTCTTCTACACCCGGCGAGTTGTGTGGTGAAAGAATTGGTTTGTGAGTTTCCCTTGGCGTATTGACCCTACTAAAGCTATAAGGTGAGGAACCGTAAGGAACGTAGCGACACCTGGGCGTGTTTGTTGGGATTTTCAGATGTTCACAGATGTTTCCCCCCCGTACGACCTGATTTGGCCGACCCCGAGGTCTTAATCACTGCATCCTTGGCGAATCTGCTTTACAAGGCCTGCTCCGGGGGTTTGTTCGGACCCCACTCATTGGGCGTTGCTTTAGAGCTCACGAAGAGCTGTTTCACTCATTGGCTATAGCCATGTATGGACAAGAACCCCCTTGTGTGAAGCATGGGGCAAGAACCACCGTTGTTCACGCCTAAACCACCGACTCTTGGGACTCTGCGTGGTGATTCCCCTCAGAAAAATGGGTCAGAGCGGTACAGAGCGGCAGAGAAGTCCCCTCAGGGTCCCTTCCGCGACCGCCGACCCGCCTGACCCCGCCGGACTGCCTCCGCTCACCTCAGGCCGCCGCCGAGGCGCACAGCCCCCCCGGCCGCGCAGGCGACGGCGCGGCCGGGGCCGCCTGGGCGAAGGTCTTCCGAGACCCAGGCGAGATCCGTAGCCGTTTGGGGCCGGTGATCCGACGTATTGAACCAGTGCTTGGAGCCTTGAGGAGTTGGGGTTGCAAAAAAAGGAACACAATCTCCTGGCTTTCCTGGATTCTTTTGGGACATTTGGAGCAGGTCTGAGTGAAGTTCGAATCTCCACCCCATATCCATGCCATATCCACTGAATGTACCTCACTTGGGACGCTTCAGACAAATCCACTGGATCCTTATTCTTTTTCTGAAATCTCTTCAAAACACTTTCCTTTCATCACGGCCTCCCCGTTTTGCCTCGAAGAAATTCCGACCAAGGCTTCGGGGCCTCTGCGGCGGACTTCGTCGCGGCGGGCGACGCGGTGCTGCTGCGCCTCCGGCGGCACATGGCCGACGGGATGCACCTCTTCGACGCTCGGCGGGACGCGGACGGCGGGACGGAGTGCGGCACGGTTTGGGGCGACCTTGGGACCATTGCGCTGGGTTTTTTGGGACCAACGGAAGGTGTTAGTTGGTTTTGCTTTGGTGTGTGGCAGGGTGATGAGTTGTGATAAGAAGATCAGCCTGGATTTTTTTACACAGCAAGTTGCAAGACACCAGCTTGCATTTTTATAGAAGATACCATTCGTCGTAGCCTGTTGAACCATGCATTATGCATCTTCAACCCGATGAAAGTGGATTGTGTAACTGACTCAGCTCGCATAGGCAGCGCCGACCCAGGCTGTTCAGAAGGCCTGATTGAAGCTGCAGCACTTGCGCACTCGCGCCAGAGGTTGTTCCTGGTTGTTTGTCCTTTCTGCTGAGGACCTTGGGAGTCCCATGGTTTGCTAGGGCAATTGCATTACATGTGGCTTTTGCTACTTTTGTGCAATTTCTACTATACAGACACAAGAAACACCACCATGGACAGGTAGCATACCATGAGCCTATCGGCAGCTTTGGTGTCATTCCTTCTCCTTCCTCAGCACACCTCTCTCCTTCCATTCCTTTTTTTTCTGGGGTGCTAAAGCTGCTAAGCCACTCCCAGCATACCTCAGGAACAGATAGACAAGAACACCGGACAGCAGTACAACGCCAAGGAGATGGGGACGCGATCTTTTTCGGTCGGGCGTTCTCCCCAAACAGCCCCGGGGGGGTACTGGTGATTGACGCATGTTTGGAGATAGTATGAGATAGTATCTAGTGCAGAACACCAAGTGGGCAGATTCTGGCAGCAAAACCACCGATTTCCATGCCATCCAGTAACCTGACTATGAGTTTAGGTGTTCGTCAACCTTTCTTCACCCCAGTCACAACATGTGTCACAGATGAACAGAATTGTTCTTATGTTGAGTTAGTTGAGTTCATGGATTGTTGCTAGGCCAGTTGCAGTGCCTGCGGTAGGAAAATTACCAGCATGCAGGATGAACGCAAACAAGCAAACAAACCTTTGTAATAGCGGAAAGTTGGATGATTGGATGATCAGCAAACACAGCAGATCAGAATAATATAGAATATATAATTGGAGACTCTGAGAAAGAACACTGAGTTGAGTTGCGCCCTGAGAGTAGGTAGAAGCCAAAGTAAGGCACCGGGTCCGAAAGTCACTCCGATTGCTAATCACGAGGATCTCACCTGGAGCTATAGCGAAGTTCTGGATGCTCTGCACGCTCGTAGAGAAGCGCTACAAACGCGCTGACGAAGATCCATACTGCAAGAGTCAGTGGTTCAGTAGATAGATGAGTAATGGTCAAAAGACAAAAGCTCTAAGGCCTTGCTCGTTGGTAGAAACATTAAAAGAGGATATGTTTGGTTTTTGTGCCTTGATTTGGAACCCGTATCCAAATGAACTAAGCACAGGTGCGTGAGAGGTCTTCACCACCGGATAGGGGGCCCCGCCTTCCTCTTCCTGGTTTCTCGCTCGGCTTAAAGCCTGTAGCGAGTGAGGAGGTGGCGCTGGGCCCAGCGGGTCTCGGAAAAGGTTTGTGCGAAGGCGTCGGTCCACCGGTCTATGGGTCACCCAGCTCGGAGTCATGGAGCCGCGCTCTGCGGAGCGAGCCGGGGCGCAGAGCAGGCGCGGACATGTCCGAAGCCCTCAGTGAGAGATTCGACCATGTATCTTCGTAGCACAGCTTTGAAGGGATAATTACGTATCAAAAGCATGATTCATCATGATTCGTATCAAAAGAACAGTAGATTCCTGTCAAGAATACACAGATTCGTAGCAAAAGTAACATCGTTTCCCCTGGGGTCTTGGTCCTTTGCTCGCCTGGTCCTTTGTTCCCTGGGTCCGCTTGGCCCTGGCTTTTGTTTGCCTGGTCATTCGGGTCTCCTGGTTCCCTTCCCCTGGTCGTCTGGCCCCTTGGTGCCCTGGTCCTTTTGGTTAGCTGGTCCTTTGGGTCTCCTGGTCGCTTGGTCGCCTCATTTCGTCCTGTGGTCCTGGCCCGCCTTGAATGGGGATTTGGCGGGGTGCTTTGTCGCCCTGGAACTGCGTCACCCGTTCGACCTGCATGTTTTCTCCACCTGGGCTCCACAGGTGTCGGAAAGAATGACAACGGACGACTTGCATGGAAAGTGCATGAAAAAGAAGGATGTACTCTTTAGCCAAAAGGTTTTGATGTAGTGGTGATGGTGTTTGTGGGCACTTGTTTTTCAACCCCTTGATGGTTTGACCTCCCAGTTGTTCGTTGAAGAAAAAACAGAACGTCAAACGTGAGGACGGCGTGGGAGAGAGAACAGCAGAATGAACAAAACGGTTATCCTGAAACGGTTGTGGCTGCCAGTGGCCGCCGGTGGCCTGATGTCAGATGTTGGCGCGATGCAAAAGACGTTTCCACTCTGACCAAACACATGTTGGCTCAGAGTTTTTTGCTCCACAAATCTAGGAATTGAAACTGATTGCGAAGTCGCATAAAACCAGATGGTAGGGGTATGTTAGTTGCTAGGGTCTTGTGGATGGCCTCAAAAGT